CTGAAAAGCATCCGACCAATCCTGCGATGTTTGATGAAAATGAACAAATAACAAACCAAACTCCTTTTGATGCACTTATGATTGTTGCAAGTGAATGCCATCTCTTTGAAACATTCACTACACTTCCCTTCACATTCACTCAATATTCCACTACAAGCATACTTCTTATGGTATAGTATACCATCTCGGCATCGGATAAAATCCTTAATGAGATATAAACAAAATTTTTATGAAAAGAAAAGTTGAAAGATTTCCGAGATATTTCAGTTTTTGAAAAAAAAAGTCTGGTTTCTGTATATATAAAAGAATTTTTGGAATTGCAACAAACCAAATTCCATTCAGACTCATGTAAGAGTTCGCAGACAAAGGTGTCACAACTTAATAAAAGTTTTAAAAATTCTTCCTGTAGAAACCTCTTTTGGGATATGTGCACAACTTCCCGGACAGTTAATTTCATCGTCTCCACCAGGACAATCCTCATTACCATCACAAACCTTCGAACGTTCAATGCAGACATTGCTGTTGTTACATAATGCCTTCCCAATACCTGAACACTCTCTGCACGTGCAATCCTACAAAAATCCAAATAAATGGTTGCAACACTTTTTATTTATCTATACAACTTTACACGAAAATCTTCTTCGTTATATCACGTGATGTTCATGAAAATTAAGACTGAAAAAACTCATGATAATAAACCATTATTGCAATGAATTCAACTGAAAAATGAAACAATTGTAGGCTTCATTTTGAGGAAATCTACCATTTCATCCTTGCCATCTGGGCAATTTTGAATGCCATTGCAAATTTGCCACTTGGGTATGCACTTCTTTTTGCCTTCACACCATAATGCGCCTCCATGACATTTACCATTACAATTCTTTTCATCTTCGCCGTACTTGCATTGCACGTCACCATCACACATCTGTTCCTGGGCCAAACATATACCTGTTTTACCGCATCGTTCTTCGTATTTTGAGCATTCTTTTCCTATAAAAATCGAATCATTTATGTTTTCGAAAGTATCCGACTAGGAAAATAAAGAACAATAGCTACAAACCAAATAATGTTGATATATATGAGAACTTACTGCAATAACGCTCCTCGTCAGAACCATCTAGACAGTCAACATTTCCATCACATAAACGGTAACCCCGTAAACACATCGAATGTCTCGATGAGATAACTCCGTGTATTGAACTGGAACAGTTGACCGTCGTATGACATACTAAAATACTTTCATTAATCGAGCGAAAATCCCTGTACAATCTATATAAAGTTGAAAACTGATTTTATTGTTGCCTTCAGATAAAGAGAAGAAAAAAAAGAATACATTTGCATCCGATTTCGTCGCTTCCGTCTGGGCAGTCTTCTACGCCATCACAACGTTGCAATGTCCCAATGATGAGGCTCTATATGAAACAAATTTTCATTTTTTTTATTTCTCAACTAGATGGTTAAATCAATTTAGTAATCAATCATTAATATTCATCTTATAAATCGTCTGATATTATATATCATTAAAATTGTTCAGTTATCATTAAAGTGCTAAGAGTTTGACAAAAAGAACAATAAAGGGATAATAATTCGATTGGGTAACAGCATGTTGGAGATGAAAAAATTGAATAAAGAAATTGTTCTTAGTGAAATTATACGCGAAAAGCTTTGTCTATAATATATATAATATATGTTGACTTACCGGCAAATTTGTGCATGAAAACCCATATCCCCTGCATAACGTAACATTCGGAGGAATCATCGATTTCAGGGATCTAATGTGTAATGATATATCTGCACTAGGCCAGCTCGATTGTGCCCTAATGATCTCCACTGCTTGGCTGTTATTCAAGGATATCGACGACTAAATTTATTCATCTGATGAACCAAAACTTCAGATTTTTACATGAGAATTGTTTTATGCGAGGTTTATAGAAATATTCAATCCATTTAAAGTAGCGCATAATTTAAAAATTCAATATCAGAGAGTTCTTACATAGCCGCGTATGATGAGCGAAACAATTAGGAACGGCGAGATGATTAAAATAGCCAGAAGGATCAGAATACCAACTAGAAAGGCAACCAGTGGTATATTATTTAACCAAGCACAACAACTAATTTCAGCTAAGTACTCTTTGAAATTTTCGATCTTCAAAAGAAGAACAAAGCAGCACTCCTGATCTTTGTTCTCCCTGGAAAGTGACTTTATGAATAAAAATTAATCCGTATTGGGAACAATGTAATATTTCTTAATGTTGCTCCTAGACTACTAATCAAATTTATTCGAACGTTCTATGATAAATCTAAGTACGGTAAGTTACTCAGTTTTACTTTCAGTCCACTATACGGGAAATTAAAAATGACTTGATGGGTATGTTATGAGTTTCTAAGTGTTTTGTGTAAAATTGTGTGAGCAAGAGGAACAAACAGCTGAATATCCAGACTTTCTAATATTTAGGAATGAAGATACACTAACTTCAGGGAAGAAATATGTAGGATAAAGAATTGCCTGAAACACTAAAATATATTATCGGTTACCAAATAAAGCACACCTGTCAATTCCAAGAGATCCACCAACACTGTCGGGACGCTGATTATATCGTGGAGATTTACCGTCCATATTTTTTATGGATACAGGACGTATCGTATTCTGTAGCTGAAGTTAAATATGATTTAGGTACAAATATATTGGATATTATATATTGTAAGAGATGATCCACGACTCATTTCAAAGAATATGATATGCAGTCTAGATTTATACGAGTCATTCTAAGCTCCTGGATTTTTGTAACTGAACTAAAGTTAGAGAACCAACCAGAACAGGGTTATTTGGGTCGTACGAACCTCGATGTGCACTCATGTGAACTGGGGAAAAGTTGTCCAATCTACAGCTAATTCCTGTTTATAGATATTCTCTGAAAAGGACTACAACGTTTTTAGCTGTGACATAAACCCTAAGTACTGCATTCCGAAGACGATTTCATTCTGATCGAAATTTATAAGAATATGTTAACCTACAGGTCTTAAACCAAGCACGCAACACTGTAGAACTGGTGGTAACGAGTAAAACATTGGGAGAAGTGCATAAGGAAGCCACCTTCGCCTGGATAAACTGTTCGAATAATGTCTTCGTCTTATAATTTGACCTACCCGGAACCTTTTTAACTCTTAATCCCGCTGTTAGTGTTCCAGTCAAATATCTCTCGTATTTTGCGTTAGGTGCTCTGCTCATCCATGCATGAATGGATAGGATGGACGCTGTAGAATACACGATTCCACACAGAAAAATATTCATGCATAGAAATGTTGTATTTCCCACTACTTTACTGTAGTGATCTCTCAGTAGTTCCAAATCAGGAGGTATTTTTGCTAACCGGCTAGCAGATTTGAAGTTGATAATAGTTTTGAATTTTGATAAAGATCAACTGGGTTTATATGTAGTTTTTTAAAAGTAATTTCTATCAATTTTTTTGGTCTGGAGCTCAAGAAAGTGACTGGATATGGATGATCATGCATAAAAAACGAATGCAATTATATATGAATGACGAAATGATGGATGGTGTCGCGAATTTTAATATCGCGAAACTCTAAATTACTATATGAGAGTTGAAAATATGAGTAAGGAATATGTTATATGAAATTTTGTAAGTAATGTTTATACCTTAAACCCTTTGTTCCATGTAATGTTTAGACTGTAAATCTTTTATATGTTATTTACATAGTATCGGCTCTTCATTTAGTTGACCTTATTGTTGTGTCGCTACTATTGTAAATTATGTTTTAATCTACGATGTTAACTTTTGCTTAACTGATGTCCTTTGCGGTTTGCTAACTAGTAATTAAATGTGCTTGTAAAGTAATTAAATGCTGGTCAACAGCTCTCTGTTAGGTCGATTACTCTTTCGGTAGGTCAACCTCATATTGTAAATCATTAAATCATATATTTTGTTTACGCATATTACTTGCTACATAAGGAGGTCACCCTTATTGAAGCAGGTATTGTGTGTTTTTTACCAAGAACCAGGAGTGTTCATCTTCAATTCTTCTCTATTGTACTGTTGTTTCTGCTAATAAAGGAATTATTATATTCCTCTGTTATCCTACATATTTACATCTATATCCAACGAATCTCCCGCAAATCAGCAACCTCAAAATAATAATTAGATTTTCAAATCTCCCACGACAGATGGTAGTAGTTATCGGTACTATAATTACAAAAGTCCGAGAATGGTGAGGAAGGCTCTTTTAAATGATGTTAAAGGAATGCGGAGGACTAACAAACACTTCAAATGCGTAATTGTGACCTATCTTTGCAATAACTACTAGGTCATGTCCTCAATTCTCACATACTTTATATACACTTCCTCAAAAAATCCACTTCACTTAGCTATTCTTACTTCATCTTTCTTACTGCTTGATCTTTGCTACCACATGGTAAATTTCATGTCTTCATAAAAAGTGTGCTCTAAAATCTAATTAATTACTTCTTTCCTAAATTTTGTAAATATTATTTATTATATATATAGCGTGTAAAGGAAAAACTAAAAATGTGAACCTTTTCCACTTTCTCTTCCATAGACAGTATGTGACATAATGCTATTCCTTTCTTACATGTTATATCACAAATACATGTGCCAATGCATATATACCACAATTACACTTGCCAACTTTTTGTAATGTTTAGTCCAAACGGCTTACTTTAATTCGAGAGTAGTAATCGTTTTTGAAAGTTTCATGAAATTAAAAGATAATATTAAAGATGGACTTAATAAAACTCAATGAACTTGAAAATCCAACGAAACAATTGTCATAAGGAAGTAAGCTAGCTGGTAGTGTTTTCTAGTTTAGTTTCAGTTTTTCTCTATACAATATTGGTAAATACATTTTTTTCCATAATTGGTTGGCATCAATAATACAACATTAACAACAATTATTTAGCTTTCATTAAAAAAGAATTTCAGTTAAATTCGATCGAATGAAAAAAGATACTGATAAGCAGAAAAATGAGGCTAACTGTAACTTTTTTCACCAGCATACTGTCGAAAGGTTGGCGATAATTTGTATCTAAGTCGCTTAGAAAAAGAAACATATTATACAAAAATAGTATTTTTGGTCTTAAATTCATTAAAAAGGTATGATTGTGCAAGGCTTACCTAAACTAGTTAATCAGGTTCTCAAGTATGCAAATTGCTTTTAGTGGTAAATCAAATAAACACATCGGCAGATTTGAACTGTGGCTTTGAATCGGCATGTCAGTGGCGTAATATTACTTCTGGAGAAGATAGTGGTGATTTCCTGATAACAAGCAATGTCAGGGTGGCGAACCACTTCAATATAATTCCTTCGAGAAATAATTCAGGTGGGTTATTTTACTTGACATCCCTAACACTTACTTTATTGCAAATGGAGTAAATGGAGAACGAAATTTCCAACTTATTTTCTGTGGATTTTCCGTCTGAGTACCAAAAACTGGAAATTGGATTTTATGCCATCAAGAAGATAATGATGCTATTCTTATTCTTATCCTTTTACTTGATAGCATTTATTACGTTTTTATCCTAGGATATTTTGAAAATTTGAGTAATCCTTTTCAACGAATTCAATTCAGTTTGCAATTTTAACGATTTTGGAGTTACGATAAACATCATAGTTTCTATTTACTTGCCTAAATCCCAGAAATCTTCTTATCGGCATAGCAAGGATAATCAGAGTTTGAAAAAAGATGTTCTTCGGTGTTAATAACCTGTTGTGATAGAATAATTTAGAATCGTTGAAAATTTTTTATTACAGATGAGTTATTTGCATACACACATGGACCTTTCGACGGGATGCAAAAAGCTACTTTAATTAGCAATATTATAAGGTTTGTAAGCTTGTAAAGAAAAAACTATGTTTCAATTCAAAAACTATATACTAACTCATACGAGACACTAAGCTAATAACTTTTTTCATCTAACTTTTTTAACTGTTGCAGCTGTCAGTTAGGCGGTAGCACCTTAAAATTTTGGTACTATCGCACAGGTGACTCAGCAACACTGGAAGTGTGTGTACGTCAACCACCAGGAAGCTTGAACACCGCAGATCTACGATGCTTTCCTGTCTTCCCCAAAAACTATGCTCATCAATGGTTATTCAATGCCGTTGAATTCCCACCACTTACCCAACCATTTGAAGTACTATTTTTAGTCTGTATGCTAAGAATAATACGAACTTAATTTCTTTCCCTCAAATCTTCCCGTTGTGCAGTATCCAAATATTTTGAGCAGCAAAATTTTAATTTTTACACGTTTGACATTTGACTGTTGTGAATACGTTGTATTTTTTACAACACACTTTGACGTACTGAGGTCTTTTATTGGAAATAAATCTTTTTTACTAATAAGATCAGATTGATAAAATTGTTGTTAATTTTTTTAGTTCTCAAATATTTATTTTTGGCTGAAACAAAATATTTCAGCTTTTGATACGCTCAAATTATATTCAGCCGTTCGACATAATGGCAATCGACGATATCTTCTATGATGCCGTACTTTGTGGTAAATCCTGTCTTTTGAGGAAATTTTCAAACAGAGAAAAAATCCTGCATATGAATTCCCTTAAAAAATTCACTCAAAACATATGAATACAATAATAGTTGGATAATGTTCAACCGTAAACAAAACATGTCCTAAAAGTACAATTTGTTAGCGGTGAAGGGAGTTCGGGAGTTCGTACCAAAAATTATGAAAAGTAAGTGAATTTATGAAATTATTTGACGTTTGGTACTTTGCTACATTCAACGCGTGATCAGAAATATCGGTTCCAGTGAATTGAAGTGTACGAAATTATAGAAAAAAGTAAGAAATGGATGTCAATGAGAGAAAAATCTCGTGGTCACTAGATGGGATGAATGAGCTTAGTATTCAGTGCTGCAGCTGTATATCACATTCATTTATACAAAGCAATACCCATAGGTTACTGTTTATTACATTATATCTACAGGACATAATAATTAATTATCTACCACTTTTTGCTGCTATGCCTAGAAAGTTCTCAGAAAATTTAGATCTTAATATTAAAGGATTTATTATTTGATAGACAACAACGGAAAAAGAGGTTGTTGCAGTGTTTGGTAGGACTTCACATCAAACTTTATCCCAAGCATTTGAACAAAGAAATGAAGTGGAAATACAAAGTGCCGATGAAAAAAACAGACATGAAAAGCCCATAAATTTTAAGAGGTTTAACAGTTTGTGACAACTGGTAACTTAAAAGTGAAAGTGAAAGTTTAAACCATTTAATTTTAGTTGAAAACCAAACTATTAATTTTCAAAGTATTCGTGAATATATCAAAATTATGGGATTCCTAATCAGACATGAATTGCAAATTATGGGAAGTCTGAAGTTCTCGAGTATTTGCCATGTATAAGAATCCAATGCGGGAAAATTTTTAAAATAAAAAAACAAAAAGTGAGGACAAAATTTTCAAACGATAGAAACTGAAAAACTTGAATAGAATAGAGTCCAAAAAAATATGGAGAATATTGAAAAGAAGGAATATGATTTTGACAGCGAAATTTGGTATGAACAAAGTTCAAAAGTATAAACTCTTACTAAGGATTTACCATATTAAGAATTATTGAGAACAAATCATTAAACAGTAAAGATGAAATTACAAGTGTAAAATTAATGAAAGATTATTTATATTTTTTATGGATTTTCTACTATTTTGGTTCTAGAATATTTTTATGACCTTTCTATTTTTTGTGAGTATTTATTTGATTTTAATCTTTTATTTGCTTAAGAATATTCTCGTGCTTAATTGTTTTAGCCTTAAAAATGGCAGGATAATGAATCAGGGAACCTCGTCGGATGAAATATTATCCAGCTTATATTTTTCTAAAAAGTTCGCTGAAATCTTCTATAAGAAAATAGAAGCGTTTAGTTTAATTTTAGGAAGTTTCGTTTTACAGAGAACACCAATTCTCGATCAACTGAAGGCGGTGAAAGCAAATTAACCTTTCTCCGTAATTTAAAAGGTATAATTTCAAATGCTGGAGGAATTTTTTATTTGGAAAGGATTTAGAGTACCAGCGAGTTTTCTGGATGTCTGAAAGGAGGCGCGTAGGTTTCAATAAACAACGGTAAAATAAATTAGGTTGAATTCTTGTGAACTTTTAAATGAGGTCTTCCGCCTTGCTTCTTAAGTATAAAATTGATCATCGCACCGTTTGCTTGAGAATTTTTTTACGCGTTCTTACACATCCTGGAAAAATTTTTCGCAGGTTAAGAGTGTAGTTGGAATAAGTTGTTTCATGCTTGTGAAACAGTGGAAGATAATTATTCTTCATCGTGCAATTTTAATAGAAATCTGGTTGGTAGACCTGCAACGGAAGCGCAAATGAATTTTTTTTTTACTCTGACCTTATCCTAGAATGCGTTTATTCTAAGAAAGAAAAATTAAAGGCTTTTCTTCTTTAAATTAGCAAATTAAAGGAGAGAGAATAACACACCTTCCAGGTAATTTTCTCGACGCCAATGGAATTGATTCAGTGAACAAAAACTTTATCTCTTTCCTTACGAGTGAACATCGAAAGAGGTAAGCCAATTAATGTCCCAAAAGGTTTTTTTTTTTTCTTACTATTTGCATAGCCAAGTGATAATAATTCTAAATTCAACAAATAAAATACAGATTGTTGCCAGTGTATACTTCATCAACATCACGGAAATCAATATCGAAATTAACCTTTGGACGTATCAATGCTCAGCTCATTTCACCTTGTCTCTTCACAGATTGCTCGTTTGACTCTGTTAATATGTGCAATTATGTATCTAGTGACGAACTCCAAGATGATGATGATCTTTTGCTGGGTATATTTTACATCTTATCTTTTTTTTGTTTTTTTTTTTTGTCTTTTTTTTTTTCTTTTTTTTTGTCTGAATATATTAGATATTTCTAATCTGAAGATGATTTTAAAAATTGAATCCTACATTTAATTTTGTTATAAATAGCAGTTTTCTTTAAACAAATTTCATAATAGATTTACCTTCGGACATTACTTCGAAGAAGTGGAGGCTTTCAAATCAAAAAGTTGCTAATACCCTCACCGGCATAATGAGCGATGTCAGTGGCGGTATGACTTTTTGATTTCTGTCATTTTTTCTATGTGTTTTCAGCCACTGCTTATAAATTACTCACCCAAAATTTACTCATCCATCCCAAAAAAAAAGAATTAATAAGTAAAAAAAGCTAACTAGCTTTGCCAGTTTATGTGGATTGTGATTTGGCTTTTCGGTTTTTAGAATTGGAGCTACTGGAGAATCCCACCCCTTGTTTGGTTGGTTAGTCGATTTCAAACGCTGGCTGCATAAATTTGATCGTCTCAGTCTGGTTCTAATTTAAGGTGGTTGGTTTATATATGCTGGTGAAACAAATAATCCAGCAGCAATATTTCTCATGCGAACGTCAAAAGCAATAAATATCCCTGAAGAATCACAAGTTAGCTTCTACGTACATATGGCTGGCAAATATGGTCGTATACGAGTCTGTTTGGATTCTCTTCAAAAATGTTCATTTGAAAGGAACGGACAAGCGCTGAGTGTGAAAACGAGAAAATGGATAAACTTTCATGTCAATATATCACGAGGATTCCATACGGTGAAACTATTTTTTTTTTTTTAATGTCATAAAAAAGCTTGAATTTATCAAAAAAGCCTTTTTTCAACTTAATAATATTTCAATATGTTTCAGATTTATTTTGTGGCAGATAAATTAAAGAAGAATTATGTGATTGGTCTTGATAAAATTCAGTTACTGATTAAACATGGCGAAGTTTCTGCTCCATGTGCACGATAAATGAGTAAATTATTTGTACAGCTTTTCTTAAATTAACAGTTACTGAACTATTAAACGTAGTAGTGTTTATTGTTTGTCGTAGTGCACTTATTATATGTGCTCTATCCACCATGCAATATTCCGCTTAGCTTACAAGCTGAATAGGTATTCTGTTAATATAAAACTAATGTGCAGTTAAAACAATACTTTCTGAGAGTTCTGCCTAACATTTCAATCGTAATAATTAGCGATGAAAATTATTCCTATGACCGACTCATTGCTCCCTTAAAATTATATCAGTGTTGTTCATATAAATATACTTATATTCATATCTGTGTTGCACAAATTAAAATATTTTGAACAGCACTGACCAGTCCGTATTTTCAAGTTGAAAAGCTAGTGATACTTCAGTATGCAATTGAAAATAATGAAAATTATTAACTGAAAATAAAAATTTCTGATTAAGTATATTTAGGTGTGAAAAAATTAGACACGCATTTGCAATCTTCCTCTCTCAGTTGCAATTCCCTAATGTTTTTTTTTTTTTTCATGAAATGATTGGCACAATGAATAACTTAGAGTAATTTCCAAACAAATTTCTGATCGTTAATGTTCAGAACGCAAGTCAAATAGACGACATATGCTTTGACAAGATCAATTTATCTGTTAGATATATTGTGTTATAAAAACGGTCATCACTTTGTTCACACACACAGTTTTAATTTAATTAGCAAATAATGGTTATTTCGCGGTTTGAACTTAACCTTTCTTTGCATCAATCAACTGACTCTTGATTATATTTTCAAGATAGAATACTTAACAGATTACATACATTACTTTCGGCCTTTAAAATTTTGAAAATGTCACAGCTAGTGGGAGGATGCCTTTTAAATGTAGTGGTGACAACAACTTCATTCCTCACAATTTTCATAAAATTAAAGGCAATTTATAAAGTTAGCCTCTAAAGGAATCCTGGAAATAACGAAAAATAAACAATGCTTTTAGAAAATAGTATTTATTGTGAAAAAATAAAGAATACATTATTGTTTTAGGGCTTCTTGTGATTTAAAGCAGTACAACTAATGAATTTATCAAACTGTAATTTCTAACAATCAATTCGATTGAGAAATATAAAAAAGGGAAAAAGTGAAATTTCATGCTCTAGATTTTATGTAATATTTCCTTTCGAGGATAATCCTTTCTGAAAAGGTTTTCTAATTAATCCTGTACTGTTTTCATGTTTCTATCTCGCACTTCCGTATGGTTTATTCAAATCTGAATATTTTTTTTTGCTAATTAATCGCTGTCATTATTCATTGTTGTGGAAGTAACTTACATGCAAATTATATTTCATTTTTTAAATTCTTCAGTGCTTGAATTAAAAAATGCGACTAAATCAAACAAATTCGTTACCTTTTTTTGGCTTTTTACAAAAAAAGTTATTTTCCAACTCCTGAATGGTCCTTGTTGGATTTCTAACAGCAAGTTAAATTCGAAGGAAAACCATTTTAATTCCTTCAGTGAAGACTTCATTTCATACAAGTGGAAAATTGAATGCTGTAAAATAATTGAAAATTAATTGGAAAATGTCGATATCGCGTTCACCCTTTTCTTGTTGACTTCAAACATTGTAAAAAAAATACGAGTTCCGATGCCTATATGTCTCGGCGATTTTTGAACTGCCCATAGTTGCAAAAAATGTTATACAGTCTGAAATTAAATTTATAAGTCGATATAACTATAAACTAGGACGCTTTAAGAAACTGGTCTGTGTCTGTTAAGCGTTTGGATTATTATCTGCATGATCAGCAAATCTTGATCTATCAGCATCATCAGAACAGAGTCAAATTGTCGCTCGAATGATTGTTTATGCTATACTGGAAATTTCTGAAAAGTGAACTAATCAGAAAATTTGAAAAATATTCACCGCTTTTCGTTGCATTTTCGACAGTTACACAAACCTAAATGCTTAGCAATTTTTAAAATGACATTTCGTTTTTGGGAAACCAGGTTATCTTACCTTGGCGCTGCATCTGTTTGTTAACAAAGTGTGTGATATAATTTGGACCAGAAGAACTGGCCAGCAACAACACCTTGTGATTTAATACTACTATTTCTGCAATTACTTCCAATAATTTAAGCAAATCTATCCCTTTTCTTATCTCAAGAATTTCTTCAGTAGATCTTGGATTGATAATACAATAATTTAATTAATTGGCCTGCATATGACAGCATCGCTGTATAAAAAAATATATATTTGATTTAAGAAATTCAGATGAGAAAGAAACGAGGACGAAAAAAAAGCATGTAATCTGAATGAGGGTATCAACAATGGAGTTTCAGGTTCTAGGGTAGTTCTTTGGGGGTGGTGTACTTAGATGGAAATAGGGGGATACCCTTATTTGAACGACGTAAGGACAGACATACATATACGCGATACGCAAACATTCTTCTGACAGGAACCAAATTATTCGTTTAACTAGGTCATAAGGCAATAGTTGAAGGAGAAAGAGGTCATAAGGGATAGATCCATCCAGTGACAACCAAAATTTTCGTTGTTTCTTAGAAGAAATACAACTCTTTATCGTTTTCTTTGTGCATTTGTCTGTGTATGTCTGTATATATATATGTATGTGTGTGTATGTATATGTATATGCGTTCTTCATAATGGTCTGTCCAGCGTCTGAGATCTGTCTTTCGAGTGTGTGTGTCTGTAGAAACATCTGAATCCAACCGAATTCACCGGATCCATCCATCCAGCATCCTTACTGCACTCCGCAGCTCCATCCTCAGTCCTCTGCCAATCAGCGTAATCATCTCTGTTGTTTCTCCCGTGAATTATTTTAAGTGGGCAATTAAGTTGTTGAATCGTTGTCCAAATTTACTGCATTTGCTAATAATTTACTAGAACAACGTTATAATCAGATATCGGACTAAAAGGAGACTGTCGTTTTCTCACTCCTTATCAATCATAGTCCAGAAACAGTTTTTCTTCGCATCCTTTTTTTCGAAAAACTTTCATCTTTGAAACATTTGGAGATCGTAGCATCAAAGCAAAGCATCTCGTATTTATCGTAATCCACAATTTCGATCCTGTAGGTTGCTCGTACCTGTAGTCAGTTGTTGGTTGTCATCGTTATCACTAATTGGAAATCTATTGGTTATTTGTGGAGCAGGTCCGAATGTTACCTATCGTTATGTTCATTTTTGCATCACTGACAACAACTTTATTCCGATTAGGTATGCTTTTCATTCTTCATAGAGAAAAGCCACTAGGTTACTAATTAACATAGTGCTGAAAAGCATAACAATTGTTCCATCTCTACTTAATCTTTATTGCCTACTTTATCTACTTATAATTTTGTGATTTAGATGCAAATTTTTGTTCCACTTACTATGTTTTTTGAGAGGGAAAGTGTCGAAATTTTGGAATTTAGAATTAATGAAATTACACTAGTTTTAACAACATTATTATTTTTAAGGGTAGATCGGTTTTCAAATAAACAGTATAAGGCGGTTTTAGGCCTTCTGATTTAGATTTCTCTACCTGCTTAAATTAGCATTTAATACCAAGTGCATCGCAGATTGCATGCAATTTTGCATTTACTTCAAAGTTTACTGAAGAAATAATCATGAAATCTGGTTTTCAATCAATGAAGGGTTTTGGCAAGCGCATCTCACTTTTTTTGTTTATTAAAACTTTTTTTGGTACCACTATTCATATTTCTTTCAAATGTGGTAGCATGATTATACAGAAAACTCTCGATTTTTTTCTTTTGAAGCTTTTTAATTTAAGCTCATCTTTTCCGCAGCTTATTTCTTTGTGGAAATATTGAAATTTAAAAATACACTGTGGTTAAGCTAGCAATTATTAGAACCGTTTGGGATTTCTGTGGAGAATTTTGGAGAGTTCCTATAGTTTTATTAAGAATATTGGAAGGAGAGCACTTTTAAAATGATTTTTTGCCTGTAAAGTAAGAAAAAATTGAGGTTAGCGAGTTTTAAATCAATATTCTTACCTCCCGAGTTTTTAAAAATCCTTCAATCTCATGCTTTTAAAAACTTTTCGATATTGACTAGAAACAACCTCTATTGGTGGTTAAGTAATGTATTTGAGTATTTGAGAATTTGTTTTATCGCATACCCTTCTATCTAGAAAACTCAATCGGCCCCAGTTTTTTATTTATTGTTCCCAAAGTTTCCTTAATATAAGGAGAAATAATGCATCATATGGACAAAATTTTCAAAAGTGTATTTAGTAAGAACGGGAAAAATAAAATCTGGATCTAAATCGAAAAATCTCATGTAATCTGAAATATTTGAGAAATTCAATGGCAAAATTAAAATATTGATGATATGGTTATGAACAACCACAAGGTCGTCATAATTCTTTCGTTCATGCTGATATATTTCGTTCAGTTGAGATGTTAATTTCATCCGTTATGAATTGCTTTCGGAATATTAGATTGCATTCAGATCTCTTAATTACATACTTTCCAATTTTAACAAAGTCAGAAATTTTTAATTTATAATCTGAATAACTGCGTACTAAAATTAAAGGAAAGAAATGTTCGGAGGAAAATAATCTAAGGAAATGGATATTTTTAAAAATGTGTGTAGTGTGTTTCAATTTAAAGAAGAATAATTTTTCTAGTGTCTTAACTATAGCATATTGATACGTGAGATGCTTTTGAAATCGTATTTATCACATTTCAAAAATTCACTTCCTTAAAACTAGAAGCAATTACCTCGTGTTTTTGAAAATTTCGAAAGTCATTATACTGACAGTTTGCTAACAGTATTAACACCAAATTAAAAGTGTCATAAGAGTGTTTCATCATCAAAGTCATAGACATATCGTCAGATACTTTCTGCAACATACAAACATTTCTGTCTTAAATATATCCCTGGGGATTTTATTTTAATGATATTTTTTTCTATTTTTTTTTCATAGAAAATACCGAAATTGTTCCAAGTTATTTATACTTTTTTAGGCATTTAATTCGAGCATAAAGGCATAA